TGGCTTTGCTGTGACAGTTCGTGATTGCAGCCACACTGTAGCACTGCTGCCCCAAACAAAGCAAAAATTGAGAATTTCTCTTATTTACTTGCAAGCTCTCTCTTGTTTATTTCTGCTCTATCGTACCTTGTATCTGCACTTGGAGATTTGGAGTATCTTGGATAAGTTCCTTCTCCCTCCTCTATTCACATCCCAAATCTGGGCTGCATAAAAGCTCTTCATTTATTTTATAACATCTGAAGCCTGCACCATTTTTTTTTTCCTCTTCCATTAGTATCACTAAAATCATTGTCCTGCCTTTGTCATCTCACACCTGAATTACTGCAGCCTTTTCTTTGGCTCTGTCGTGTTCCAGTTTTAATTCTGTGTTTCATGGTGATGGAAAGTGATCTTTTTTTCCTTTGTGAGCTTTTTTTCCTTTGGTTCTTCCACACTTCTCACCCTCAAAGCGAGTCTTTCTCTGAGGAATTCAGTTCTCTACCGTTAGCCTCTCCGACCTTCAGAAAGTTTGCATCTATTTAAATTTAATTTCTTCCTCTTTGGAAAACAAAACAGTTCTCTCTATTAAACTCAAAATTTGGCAATAAGTCAACTGCATGATCTCATATTTTTCTGTGACTGCTTCACAGAAAATGCTTTAAAAACTGCTAAGAGATTTAATGGAGAAGTGTCTAGTGGTGTAGAACTATCTTGAAAGGTTTGGGGACGGCTGACTTCAGGGAGCTGCCGGTTTGTCTTTTCCATCCATCAGCTCTCCAGTAACATGGTTTCTTTCCCAGGCCACACACACAGCATGAGCTGTGGTGTGCTGGAATTGTCCATTGTGTCTGATATTGCTCTTGGTGTCCTCCTCTTATGGACGAGAAACAAGGCAACTCAAAACCTGGATGTGGGCCAAAGGAATTGCAGTTGCCACCAAAAAAAAGGGTGAAGACTCTTAATAACTGGGGACTCTTTTCTGAGAGGCACTGAGGGCTTCATTGGCTACCCAGTGAACATCTTCAGAGAGGTTTGCTGTCTTCCAGGGGCACATGACAGAGATGTTAAGAAGTCTCTACCACATCTGATAAAGCAAGGTGACTGCCATCTGCTTGTTGGCATTCAAGCAGGGCTATGGGAGGCTGCAGTGGGGAAACAAAGTAGTATTAAAAGGAACTTTGCATACCTTGGAAAAATGCTAAAGGGACTGGGAGCGCATGTATGTTGTCCTCCTAACTGGTGGCTGGGTTCTGGAAAGGAGGAGGAGGATAAATCAGGTACATTACTGGTTGATGGAGTCAGGATCGAGGTTTTAGGTACTGTGATCACAGGACATTGAGAGACCAGGTGTGTGGGCATCGGATGGAATGCAACTGAGCAGATGGGGCAGAAGTGTTCTGGGAAGCAGGCAGGCTGGATTGATTACTGGAGCCTTAAACTAGATTCGGCGGGGGAAGGGGATGGAGCTTCTTGTGAGAGAGAAGGGCCTGGTAATGCTGCCTTTTTAGTAATCTGTGGAGAAAAGCCTCTCAGCTGTCTAATTGGATCTTGTGAGGACTTCTCAGAGAGGAAAACATTGCCAATAACCCGGCTTAAACCTTCTTGCATTCTCTAGAGATACCTGCACTCTGTGCTTCCGTAAAGTGCTTTGTAGCAACGCACGCAGCATGGGAAATAAACAGGAAGAACTAGAGATCTGCATGCAGTCACGGGGCCATGATCTCATTGCAATCACACAGACACGGTGGGACAGCTCACACGACTGGAATGCTGTCATGGATGGCCGTGTCCTCTTTAGGAAAGACAGGCTGGAGAGACGAGGTGGCGAAGTTGCTCTTTATGTGAGAGAGCAACTGGAATGTATTAAGTTTCGCTTGGGGTGAATCTTGAACAAGAGGAGACCTTGTAGGTAAGACTTAAGGGGGGGGCTAATATAGGACACACTGTTGTGGGTGAGTACTACAAGCCACTTGATCAGGAGGACGAAGTGGATGAGACTGTCTACAAACAGCTGGAAGCAGCCTTGCTGTCCTCTGCACTGGTTCTCGTTGGGGACTTCAATCATTGTGATATTTGTTGGATAAGCAACACAGCCAGGCACACAAGATGCAGGCAGTTCCTGTAGCACGTTGCTGATATCATTCTGATGCAGATGGGGGAGAAACCAATGAGGAGGGTTGTGCTACTTGATCTTGTTTTTACTAACAAGGAAGGGCTGGTCAGGAATGTGATGACTGTGGGAAGCTTAGGATCCAGTGATAACAAGACGGTGAAGTCCAAGATCTTGTGTGCAAAGCAGTAAGTAGAATTGCTGCCCTGAACTTCAGGACAGCCAATTTTCTGAGGAACTCACGCTTGACCAACCTGGTAGCCTTCTATGATATCATTACCAGCTGGGTAAATGGGGAGAAAAGCAGCGGATGTTGTGTACCTTGACTTCAGTAAGACATTTGGCATCATCCCTCGCAATATCTTTGTTATGAAACTTAGAAAATGTGAGATAGATGAGTGGATGGTGAAGTGAACTGAGAACTGGCTGACTGGCAGAGCTCAGAAGGTGGTCATCAGCGGTGCAGAATCTGATTGGAGGCTGTAATTCTTGGTGTTCCCCAGGGGTCAATGCTGGGTCTGATTTTGTTCAACATCTTCATCAACAACCTGGATGAAGGGACAGAGTCTACCCTTAGCAAGTTTGCTGATGATACAAAGCTGGAAGGATTGACTGACACACCTGAAGGCTGTGCTGCCATTCAACAAGGCCTGGACAGACTGGAGAGTTGGGCAGGGAGGAGCCTGATGAGTTTTAACAAGAGCAAATGTAGAGTCTTGCACCAGTACAGGCTGGGGGATGACCTGCTGGGGAGGAGCTCTACAAAGAAGGACCTGGGTGTTCTGGTTGCCAACAGGTTGACCATGAGCCAGCAGTGTGCCCTTGTGGCCAGGAAGGCCAATGGGATCCTGGGGTGCATTAAAAAGAGCGTGGTCAGTAGGCTAAGGGAGGTGATTCTCCCTCTCTACTCTGTCCTGGTGAGGCCTCATCTGGAGTACTGTGTCCAGTTCTGGGCTCTCCAGTTGAAAAAAGACAGGAATCTTCTAGAAGTCCAGCAGAGGGTCACAAAGATGGTGAAGGGCCTGGAGCATCTCTGTATGAGGAAAGGCTGAGTAACCTGGGACTGTTCAGCTTGGGGAAAAGAAGACTGAGAGGGGGATCTGATCAGTGTAAATATCTAAAGGGAGGTGGAAGGCAAATGGATGAGGCCAAGCTCTTCTCATTGGTGCACAATGATATGATAAGGAGCAAAGGCCTAAAACTTGAATGTAGGGAGTTCCATTCTAACATGCAGAAGAACTGCTTGACAGTAAGGATGATGGAGCAGTGGCACAGGCTGCCCAGAGAGGCAGTGGAGTCTGGTTCTGTGGAGATAGTCAAGACCCATCTGGATGCCAAACTGTGTGACCTATTGTAGGGAAGTTCTTTAGCAAAGGAGTTGGACTTGATGATTTTTTAAGGTCCTTTCCACTCCCTGAGATTCTGTGAATTGTTGAAATGGCAGCAGCCATCTCTCAGCAGCTCCCTTCCCCCCAGACACTCAGTCTTTCCTTTCCCATGGGTGAGCTGTAAACCCCTAGTGAAAGCTGGTGTCCAGAAGCTGCCAGCTGCTACTTCTGGAGAAGTTTGTGTGTCCTAGTCCTGAGAGTTCCAAAGCTTTTCACAAGCAAAGAAAAAAGCCCTGTAAATTACCTAGCAAGCCTGGTACAGTCTGTATGTGCACAGTGAACTCTGTCTGCAATAGGTGCAGATCTTCCCCAAAGCCATTAGCAAATCCTGTGGTGCTGTAGGGGAAGAGCCATGCTGTAGCATCTGGACCATGCTTAACAATGAGAGCAGCCTACATGTGTTCATCCACAAATCTTGGGTGCTGATATTATGGACAGTTGAAGAGCAGAATGAATTATTCAATGCATTTTACTGCTCAAGTCACTTGTTTTCTATTCCAGCTCATGCTCACCCATAGTCCGAAGTGAAATATTCTCTCTAGTTCTTCCCACATGCACCTGGATGTAACATGCTCCCTTACTCTTTCCTAATGGTTAATAGTTTGGCTTTTGGAGCACTTTGTGAGTTTATGAGGAAAGACGTCAGCAGTGCAAGCTGAAGAAACTTCTATTAGGTCATTCCTTTTCAGAACATAGTACCTGTCTTCTAAGCTCTTGGCGGACGTTAGCCAAATAATCCTTTTAATAGCTCTTGTGAGTTAAAAGGCTAGGTAACTGTCATAAGGCTAAATGATTGCTCAGATTAATTTACTTGTGGCAAAAAGAAATCAATTGTAATTTAAATTTTTGTCTGTGAAATGATTACACTACCAGACATCAACTTTCTCCTTAGGAATCTACCTGGAATCCGCGTTGAAGTGTGTCTGTGTTAGTACAGATTATGTGGATCTGAATTAGTTACAGATTATGAAGAGTAATGTGAATCAGCATGTGCAGTTTTTAATCTGTTTGGTATACAGAGAATATTCAGCTGGTCGGCCTTGTTTAGATCTTTAAAACATTGATTTATAGCAGAAGTCTTCCACGGGGTGCTTGGATGCAAAGGATTATTTCTTAGACTTTAAGACCATGGGTCCTTTGCAAACCATGTCATCGCTCACTTAAGGCATAGAGAAGAAAGAGGGTGAGGCTTTAGCAGTCCACACAATGAAACATAAAAATTGAAAGTGGATAGAAAAAACTGCAGTAGTTTGAGGGAGCATTTTTCTTAACCATGATGACATGTGGTGATTGATACCCTTCCTTTTTAAGGGAGGATGGATAGGTTGCTCAAGAAGAATCCTGGAGGGGCTTGTGTATTTTTCTTAATGATGTGGTTTGGGGCTACTGCCTGGTAAAACTACCAGAACGTTGCCCTTTATAAGCTGGTTGTGTAATTGTAAGCCAGACAACAAGAAATCAGAATGAATTTGCCTTTCATTGAAATGTCTGAAGTTTTTGTATCTTTTAATTGTGTCTTACAGAATGGTGAATAACACTGAAGACCCCCAAGAGGCTTTATAACGTTCCATCCCCATGTAAAGTATGCTCAGAACTTTTCCAGTAGTGTAAGTACAAGCAAAAAACCCAAACAATGACACAACAGCTACAGAAAGATGATATCTTGAGCGCTGTATTTTTTCTGTTCTACCTGAAAAATGCAGAGAAATGATTGCAGTGATAATCAACAGTTTGCTAACCTGGGGAGTTCCACTGGTTTGGCATTTGCTAGACCAGGAAACAGGAATTTATTTAAACCAGGAAGCAGGAATTTATAGTTCTTCTCTTGGCCTGGCTGATAGCATCTCTGAAAGAGAGAAAATCGTGAAGTGCTTCGAAACAGCCTCGATCAGAGGAAGTGTGCTGTTAAAAGCTGGAGTACTCCATACATCCCCATGGCATAGCAGAAGGATACCAGAGCTGTGAGTGTTTGGCACCACTACAGACCTGGTGAAAGGAGATGAGTACACCAGAAGGGTAGCACTGTATGTCAAAGGCAGAAGACTAGCATAGCTAACATTGGTAGTGAATGTGCAGGTTCAAGCCACAACTGCTGCCAAATCTTATGTTTGAATTTGAGTCTTTTAGTTTGTTCTTTTAAATGACTTCTGTTATGAATCTTGAATGTAATTGATATCCATTCTGTTTTCCTCAATAAATAAGCAAATTACTTCAAAGCTTGTCAGGCTGAAAGGAGTGATTGTCCTGTATTGTGCTGTCCTGCATCCCTCTCACAGTTGCAGTCCTGCATTAGTGTTCCTTGTACCTCTTGTAGGCATGACCAAAAGTCCAGTGGCAAACAGATTCTGGAGGTGCTTTGACCTCTAGGCTTCTAACTGTACCTTCTGTCTGAGTTACAAAGAGAAATCTTGTCTATTGCAGGTTGGAAGTGTGAAAACAGTCAGATTAATCCAAGATAGATTATTTCTGGGATGAAGATTATTCAGGTAGTGCATGGACACTCATAATGCAAGTGGCAATGCAAGCACAGACTTCTGCGTAGAGGGTGGCAGTAAAGAGTAGCACTGACAAGAGCAGCACTTACATGTTGGAAATTCAACTACCAATATTCTTCAAATAGGCTTCTTGATACAACCATTAAGTAGTTATTTTCCTTTGCTGGTGTCTCAGTCTTCCATTCAAAACTAGTGGTTCTTACCCTTTTGACACTCTGAGACGCTTCCTGTTCTTTGTTTTAGCTGCAGATATGTTGGATATCAGTATTAAATAGTCACTATTTGAAATCTTAAATATCTACTTCACAGCAGGGAAGAAATCTGGAGGTAAGGCCGCACTGCCCTGCGCATCTTTATTATGCCGGTAATGCAGAGTTTGCAGGCTGATCTTACAGTTCTTCTGTGCTTTGTGTGAGCACAAGGACAGTCTGTCAGCCTTAACTTTGAATCAGACTTACAACATAAATTTCCAAGCAGTGAATTATATAGTCTTAATTTCCTGTGCTTCAGCCAGATTTCAGACGTGTCCTGCCTCTGTGCAGTTTTAGTTGGATATCATATTCTGCTGCTTCTTGGGATCACTGTGGCATGTTGATGTGTGATATTAATCAGCTGCCACCCTTCATCACAAAAATAGTCACTTTTTCTATTGATTCCAGTGTATGTACAGTTAACACAGTCATTGAGAATGCAATAAAAAGTATAGATGAATGATTTTCGCCTGGGTGAAAGCTGGGATGAAACTATTTAGACAGGGTTAGAGAGCTTTAAATCAGGAGAAACAGTCCAAGATGATCCAGTTGGGTGCAGAGTTTCTGGACTGAACCATATATAACTTTTTGAATAGGTAAATGGACGTGGGGAAATGGGGAAAAAAAAAAAAAAAACAGTTTAAAAAAAAAAAGATTAAGCAGTTTGGCAGCCCACAACCCGTAATTTATTGTGAAATCATGACTCGTCTTGTGTGTATGTTTGTGATAACTATTTACAAAATAAACAGCATGCCTGGCCGTACCTCACTGGGCAGGTGAGGAAGGTTATAAAGCCATATCTGAGGTATTCCATTTTCAGGCCAGGGTTTTAAAACAAGCTTGAAAGTAAGATTGGTTTGCATTAATAAATCTCTTAAAGCTGCCATGGTTAAAGAGTAGTGTGGTTATCCCAACCATGGGGCAGCCTGAAGAGCAAAGGAGGCGATTACCATTTATCTGCTTAATTTTTATCTGCAGTTGGATGAGATTGAGTACTTGAGAGGAATTTTTTGCCTTATGTGAGCACGAGGCTTGATTTTGGTGTCACTAGAATTAGTTATTTATTTGAAATGAAGCCCTTCTGTAGCCAATGTGAATATGTCTCCACTGGTTTCTTTATAAATATAAAGGAAGCAATTTCGTGTACTTCACAGGATCAGAACAGTACTGATTAATTAATGTGTGAGATATGACCATTGGTATTTATATTGCATTTGAAACTCGATGGAACTGGGCAGTTTCAACATTGCCTCTAAAAGTTTACCCGAATTGTCAGGTCTGTGCGTATGGATCTAACTGCCAGCTATGACAGAGCTGGCTTGGAGTAAGTAAAAGCCTGCTGAGTGGAAAAGAAATCAGTGTGAGTAATGCAGATGGAAAAAAAAGACTGAGTTCTTGTTATCATTCATGAAAAACAATGGGAAGAAAGGAACGAGTATGTGAATGGTATCAAAATCAGCACATTGAAAAATAGCCATTGCATTATGGTGGCTTGGAAAGTCACCATATGGCTAAGCTGCCTTAACTGTCCAGCTTCCCTGGAATGTGATTCGAAACACTTGAATTAAACCTTGGTGAAAGAAGCTTCAGCTAATTTTCTGTCTTTGCCTTCTGACAAGAAGGTGTAGTGTAAATGGCTGGTGGCTATAGAAATGTTCAGTTGACATTCTGACCTTCTAAACGTTGTCTGAGCCCTTAGTTTTACTCTAAAACAAACCAGATGAGTTAATCCATGATTTCACGGGTAGTTAACCCAACCTAAAGGGGACTAAAAGCAATGTTGTTCCCTGTGTGCCTCTTACGCTTTCCTCTGTTCTTAGCTAAATTGGCTTGGCCCATCCGTTGGGTTGGCGACAGCAATCATCACAGACTTCTCTAAGCTAACATAGCTTGCTAACCCGGGCAAAACAAAGTATCTAAGGATGGGTTGGTTTATTTATTTTCCTGATGTGTTGAACTGAATTCATTTGTGGGGATTTCCAAGAATCTCTACGGGAGGGCAGAAAAGCAGGACCCAGCCCCTACCTCAGTAATGATAGAACCATAAAACACCCTGAGTTGGAAGGGATCCTCCACTCTTGTTGGATGCTCTTAGGTCAGCTCACACTCCCTCAAGCATCTGCACATCAGGACTTGCATCTCGAGGTGTTCTCCTCCTGCTCTGAGTAGCAAAGAAAGAGTTTGCATTTACCCTGAGGACGCAAACTGGGTCTTCTCTGTGTCACGCGAGAGGAAATCTCCCTAGATGGAGTCTTGAGAGGTTTGTTACTTTAAGAGCATGAGTAAGATGTCTGTTTCTTTTTGAAATGCTTCTAAATAAAATAAAACTCTAACATGGAAGCGGCTGTAGCCAAAAGCCCACTTTTTTGCTATTATGATTTATATTCTTCAAGGAGCTGCTGTTATCTATTTTGGAGTTGTTCTCCAAATATAACATCTGTCTTCCCCAAGACTGTGTGCCAACAGAGCTACAGTAGAACTGCTCCCACAGACTGTTTTCTAACAGGGTAAAAATAAAAAATAAAATTGCTCTGTTGAACACAAAAATGGGGACAGGTAAAATTTAGTTACTTGGTGATTTTTGGCTTTAGTTTTCAGAACTAACAAATTGCTCTTTTATGAAAGTTGTTACTGTTGGTGAGAGATCCTGAGGAAGAATGTAGGTTTCCGTAATGCATACTAAAGAACATCGTTCTCCTTACATGTGGAAAAGAGGTGGTAGAAATCCTGGTGATGACATCCCATTAAAGCATGTTGTACAGTGCCGTGTCTGGTGCCGTAGATGAGCCTTGTGGAACGTGAGAAGATGTTCAAATTTTGGCCAAGCAGTTGGTCTGCCTTCTTGCAGAATGCCTCTGGTTTTGAACGAGCCATTTTGCCTTGTTTGAAGGTTAGTTCCTTTCTGTGAGCCATTAGTTTCAAAAGTTAGCTATAATATTACTTTTCTGCCACACAGGATTGTTCTGTAGAAAGATGCGTTTCCAACATTTCGATATTCCAGTGAGCTGATGTAGAACTGTTGACTTGAGATTCTGTCTTGATTTTGATATACAGGAGATCCTATAAACAGGAGGGGAGTCAGTTCTTTGAATGGGTAGATAAGAGAACAAGGGGAAATGGTTTTAAGTTGAAGGAGGGAAGATTGAGGTTGGATGTCAGGGGAAGTTCTTTACCATGAGAGTGGTGAGGTGCTGGAACAGCTGCCCAGAGAGGCTGTGATGCCCCGTCCATCCCTGGAGGTGTTCAAGGCCAGGTTGGATGGGGCCCTGGGCAGCCTGGGCTGGTATGAAATGGGGAGGTTGGTGGCCCTGTGTGTGGAGGGGGGTTGGAGCTTCGTGATCCTTGAGGTCCCTTCCAACCCTGGCCTATGATTCTGTGACTGGTTGAATTCTGAAGGTTTCTAGAGGAAGCAGAAGACAACGTTGTTTCTACCCCTGTAATTTTGGCATCTGGAAAAATATGATTTGCCAGTTTGTATCTAGGTTAGGGCCATGTCTCCTTTCTTTTTTTCTTGTCACAAGAGCTGTTTCTTCATGTGGGCTGAAGAAAAGATGTCAGTGTGTTGCAGGAACTGGTGGAAGGAATTCAGACACAGGAATTCTGCCCTGATTCTGTTACAGAGTTTATGTATATGCAATTTTGTCTTCGGCTCCCAGATATAAGAGCTCCTCCTTTGCTCTTTTGTCACAGCTTTGGGTCTCAGTTCAGCACTCAACTATCACTCTGGTTTTTCTGTGGCAGTTCTTCTCATTCCTTGTTCTGCCCTTGAATCCAGGCCTCAGAGTTCAAATTCCTGCCTTACTGCTGTAGAATTGCAACAAAAAGTTGGGAGCCCTGATTGTAGAAGTAGGGAACATTAGG